TTCTGTCATTTGCATTTGAAAAGACTTCTCGCATTAGCCTCAGTTGCAAGCTAGTTCCAGGTCAATACCGAGAATACGAATGTAGTCAACTGTAAAAGGTTCTGTGGCTACATCTCACGTGACCTCGTCGCCATATTGCATGACATTAGCAAAAGATTTCTAACTACAATCTTGGACAATTTAAATGAAAAATCAAGACCATTTCAATGGTGGAAAAATGGTGCGTTTTGGGTTTAGCGCCAGTTCACCATTGATTCCGGGGAAGAGGTGGTTTTATGTCTTATTTTATTCTGACCAAGATTGCAACTTATTCTGTTAGTGTCATCCAACTTGTCTAAAAAACAAAGCAAAACAAAGCAAAACAAAAAAAAAGAACTAACAATGACCCATTTTAATAGCTGAATTTTAAAATCCACAATTTAGCTGAAAAATGTTCCTGGTCAATGAAGACAGACGTTTATTAAAACTCAATCCTGCCACGCTTTGTAGTTATATGGTGTCACCAGTGACTCATAATTAAAGCTAATATTAATAAATGACGACCCGAGAACAGTTTGTCTTCATTTAAAAGGGCATTTATTTCAAACCTCAGTTTAAAACACATGTATGATTTATTTCGAAATTACAGCTCTAACTTAGGATCCAGTCTCTTGACTAAACATCCTCCTTAATGCACACGGCTTTTATGGTTTTTCCAATTCAGGAATATATTCTGCCTTTGGCTGAGATTTAAAACTTTTAAGTGTTTACCAAGGTATTGAGACTGTAATCTCTACCTACATCAACTGATCGAATAATCGTCAACTTTTAAATCTAGCTGTAGAATGTGCAAGCTACTCAAGTCTGACCAGTGGTGACCGGAAGAATACCTACAGCGCTACGCCTCCACTCTGCGACAACAACCTCAATGGTTGGTTTCGTTTCCAGGGAGCCGCGGTCACAAGAATGACTACTTCATGTCGACCTAAATCCAGGTGTAACACTGATGCAGCCGGCTGGTTATATGGTGGTCATCCTACAGTGGCTGATAGCAAAGTCACCAGGCAGGTCTGCTTTCACTGGTATTTAAACTCTTGTTACTGGTCCAGAAACATCGAAGTAAGAAACTGCGGCTCTTTCTCTGTTTACCATCTCAGTGGTGTACCAGCGACCTGCAACCTTGGCAACTGTGGCAATGACTAATTGTTTCCCCCCTAAATCTTGATTAGTCGGTCGCTGAAAAGACATTTCTCTTGATAAATAATTCTTAAGTGAAATAATCTTTCTATTGCATTTCACACGATTGAAAGAGACGAATTCTTGATTTTACCTTGGTTTTAGTTGATTGTTGCTATGGATACATTAGCTGGCATTA